CCCCGTGACCCCTCCCCTGTCCCCAAACCTCAGGACCCCCCTGCCCTCCCCCACCGGGACGGAAAATGGGGATTTTCCCCCCAAAAATTGAAATTTGGGATTTTTTTTTTTCCCTTGAAAATGCTGGATTTGGGTAAAAAAATTGGGATTTTTTTTTTTCCCTGGAAATGGAAATTTGGGATTTTTTTTGTCCTTGGAAATGGACCCCCAGGACCCTCCCCAAACCTCAGGACCCCCCTGCCCTCCCCCACCGGGACGGAAAATGGGGATTTTCCCCCCAAAAATTGAAATTTGGGATTTTTTTTTTTCCCTTGAAAATGCTGGATTTGGGTAAAAAAATTGGGATTTTTTTTTTTCCCTGGAAATGGAAATTTGGGATTTTTTTTGTCCTTGGAAATGGAAAATTAGGATTTTTTTCCCCCAAAAAAATTGAAAATTGGGATTTTTTTTCCCTTGAAAATGCTGGATTTGGGTAAAAAAAATGGGATTTTTCCCCCTGGAAATGGAAAATTGGGATTTTTTTCCCCTGGAAATGCCAGGTTTGGATGGAAAATTGGGATTTTTTTTCTCCTGAGAATTGGGATTTTTTTCCCTTGGAAATGTCAGATTTGGGTGGAAAATTGGGATTTTTTTTCCCCTGAAAATTGAAAATTGGGATTTTTTTTTTTTCCATTGAAAATGCTGGATTTGGGTTTAAAAAAATGGGATTTTTTCCCCAAAAAATTGAAAATTGGGATTTTTTTTTCCTTCTAAATGCTGGATTTGGGTAGAAAATTGGGAATTTTTCCCCCTGAAAATGGAAAATTGGGAATTTTTTTTTCTCCCTGAAAGTGGAAAATTGGGATTTTTTTTCCCCAAAAAAGCCCCCCCCGCCCCTTCCCCAAAATTTGGAAGATTTTTGGGGCTCTCCCTCCCTCCCCGTGGGGTTTCTGCCCCCCAAATTCTGACCAAAAGAACCCCGTGGAAATAAACCAGTTCAAACCAGTTCAAACCAGTTCAAACCAGTTCAAACCAGTTCAACCCAAAAGCTGCAGTTTGGTCCCAAGAGGGTAAAAATGGGGATAAAATAGGTAAAAAATACAGATTAAACAGGTAAAAAGAAAGTGATTAAATGAGGTTTAAAGGGTTTAAAAATTGGGTTAAAATTTGGGATATAAGGGGTTAAAATAGGGATTAAAATGGGTTAAAATAGGGATTGTAAAGGGTTAAAATAGGGATTGTAAAGGGTTAAAATAGGGATTATAAAGGGTTAAAAATAGGGATTGTAAAGGGTTAAAATAGGGATAAAATGGGGGGAAATGCAGGGATAAAAAAGGGATTAAAAGGAGTAAAAATAGGGGTGAAATGGGTTAAAATGGATTAAAAATATGAACAAAAATTAGGTAAAAATAGGGATAAAATGGGGGGAATTGGAGGGATAAAAAAGGGATTAAAAGGAGTAAAAATAGGGGGGAAATGGGTTAAAATGGATTAAAAATATGAACAAAAATTAGGTAAAAATAGGGATAAAATGGGGCAAAATAGGGGTAAAAATGGGTTTTAAAATGGGTTAAAAATACACATAAAAATGGGCTAAAAATTGGGATAATGGGTTTAAAAGGGTTACAAATAGGTGTAAAAAGGGTTAAATAGGGGTAAAAATAAGTTAAAAATAAATGGAAATGGGTTTAAAATAGGGGGTAAAATTGGGAAAAATAGGGGTTAAAATTGGGAAAAAATAAGGATTAAAAATGGAGAAATATAGAAATTAAAATTGGGGAAAATAGGGATTAAAAGATATAAAAATTGGATAAAAATAGGGATTAAAATTGGGGGAAAATAAGGATTGAAAATGGAGAAATAAAAATTGGGAAAAATAGGGGAAAATGGGTTAAAATATGTGAAAATTGGTTAAAATAGGGATTAAAATTGGGGGAAACTAAGGATTGAAAATGGAGAAATAAAAATTGGGAAAAATAGGGATTAAAAGATATAAAAATTGGATAAAAATAGGGATTAAAAATGGAGAAATATAGAAATTAAAATTGGGAAAAATAGGGATTAAAATTGGTAAAAAATAGGGATTAAAAATGGAGAAATATAGAAATTAAAATTGGGAAAAATAGGGGGAAAATGGGTTAAAATATATGAAAATTGGTTAAAATAGGGATTAAAATTGTAAAAAAAATAGGGATTAAAGAGGGTTAAAATAGGGGGAAAATGGGTTAAAATATATGAAAATTGGTTAAAATAGGGATTAAAATTGTAAAAAAAATAGGGATTAAAGAGGGTTAAAATAGGGGGGAAATGGGTTAAAATCTGTAAAAAATGGGTAAAAAGAGAGGAAAAAATGGGTTCAAACCACGGAAAAAAGGGGAAATGTCCCCCAGGTCCCTGGGGACCGGCAGCTGGCATCAGAGGTGGCATCAGGAGGTGACAGGGTGGCATCCGGGTGGCATCAGGAGGTGGCAGTGCTGGCCGTGCCCCAGGCTCTCTTTTCCACCAGGGCACAGTACCTGTCGGGCACCCCGCTGTCCCTGCGGGTGGCACAGAGGGGACATCAGCGGTGCCAGGAGGTGCCCGAGGTGGCACAGGGGGTGACAGAGGTGCCAGGAGGTGCCCGAGGTGGCACAGGGGGTGACAGAGGTGACAGAAGAGGTGCCAGGCGGTGCCCGAGGTGCCCCCGCACCTGAGGCGCTGCAGTTTCTGCTGTCCCACGCGTGCCAGGTGCTCTGCCCGCTCCCGTGCCCGTGCCAGCTCCCGCTGTCCCTCCTCCATGGCCGCGGCTCTGTCGCGCTGTCGCCGCTGTCGCGACTCCCGGATCTGCTCCTGCAGCGCCTCCGCCTGGGCGCGCTGTGCCCGCTGCCGTGCCAGCTGCTGCTCCTGCTCCCGGGCCAGCTGCTCCTGCTGGGCGCTGGGGACACGGGGACCACCAGTGCAGGTGCTCGTGGCGCTCGGTGTGGCCCGAGCCCGCCAGCGTGGCCGTGGCCTCGGACAGGAAGGCCACGAAGTAATTGCTGAAGTGGAACGAGAGGGCGCTCTCGTAGGCACGGAGCCACCTGGGACAGGGGACAGGGGACAGGGGACACGGGGGGCATTGGGGACAGGGACAGGGGACACTGGGGACAGGGACAGGGGACACTGGGGACAGGGACAGGGGACACTGGGGACACTGGGGACACTAGGGATACTGGGGACACTGGGGGCATTGGGGACACTGGGGACAGGGGACACTAGGAACACTTGGGATATTGGGGACACTGGGGACAGAGACAACTCCCGACAGCGCCGGTCCCGCTGCGCCGCTTCCCGGCTGTGATTGGAGCGCAGAGCTTCCTGAGGGGACATCGGGGACAGTGACAGGGACAGGAGACACTGGGGGCATTGGGGACACTGGGGACATTGGAGACAGTGACAGGGACAAGGGATATTGGGGACACTGGGGACAGGGACAGCTCCCGGCAGCGCCACTGCCGTTCTGCTGCCACCTGGCTGCGCTTGGTCCGCAGAGCGCCGGGGAGGTGACAGAGCCCCGGGGAGGGGACAGGGGTGGCAGTGCCACCCACCTGCGCCTCCTGCCAGCCCCGCTCGTGCTCCTGCGTGGCCTTGAGCCGCTCCAGCTCCCGCTGCCGCTCCCGCCGCAGCCGCGCCCGCTCCGCCTCCAGCGCCGCGTCCCGCTCCTGGGGACAGCGACAACGATGGGGACAGGGGGACAGGGACACCGGGACAGCGACACCGCTGGGGACAGGGGGACAGCGACACCGGGACAGGGACACGGCTGGGGACAGGGACACAGTGGGGGACAGAGCCCTGGGAAGGTGGCAAAGCCCTGGGGAGGTGACAGCGCCCTGGGGAGGTGACAGCGCCCGGGGGAGGTGACAGCGCCCCGGGGGAGGTGACAGTGCCCGGGGGAGGTGACAGCGCCCGGGGGAGGTGACAGTGCCCCGGGGGAGGTGACAGTGCCCGGGGGAGGTGACAGCGCCCGGGGGAGGTGACAGTGGCCTGCCAGCCCCCCCTCACCCCCTTCTGGCGCTGCTCCTCCAGGGCCCGCAGCTCCGCTCGCCTGTCGCGCTCCCTGTCGCGCTGTCGCAGCCGCTGGTTCTCCGCGTCCACCGCCTTCATCTCGGCCAGGAGCTGCCGCTTGCGCTGCTGCTGCTGCTGCCAGGCCTGGGGACACCGCGGGGACACCGCGGGGACACCGATCCCGTCACCGCAGAGCCCCGCTAACCCCGCCTGCCCATGGGGATCCCAATTCCGTGGGACCCCCAAGCCCCTGGGATCCTCCATTTCCCGGGATGCCCAATTCCCTGGGATCCCAAACCCCTGGGATTCCCCCGCTATAGATCCCAAACCCCTGGGATCCCAAACCCCTGGAATCCCCTTGCTATAGATCCCAATTCCCTGGGATCCCAAATCCCTGAGATCCCCCTCATTAGGAACCCCATTTCCTGGAATCCCCATTCCCTGGGATCCCCATTCCCTGGGATCCCAAACCCCTGGGATTCCCCTATAGATCCCAATTCCATGGGATCCCAAACCCCTGAGATCCCCCTCATCAGGACCCCCATTCCCCGGGATCCCCATTCCCTGGGATCCCAATCCCCTGGAATCCCAATCCCCTGGAATCCCCTTGCTATGGATCCCAATTCCCTGGGATCCCAAATCCCTGAGATCCCAAATCCCTGAGATCCCCCTCATCAGGACCCCCATTCCTTGGGACCCCCCTTCCCTGGGATCCCCAGCAGCTCCGTGTCCCCTCCCGCTGATGCCACCACGTCCCCAAGGCCACCAGCGCCCCAATCCCACCCCACACTCTTCCCAACCCTTCCAACCCGAGTTCCCAAACTCCCGAATTCCCGCTGGGAATCTCCCACCTCGCGATCCTCCCTCTTCATCTGCTCCAGGTGCTCCACGAACCTCTGGCCCTCCTGGAATTTCTGCTCGGCCCTCAGCGCCCGCTGCTCCTGCCGCTCCTCTATCTGCTGGAGCACCTCCAGCTTGATGCTGGGAATTCGGGAAGCATTCGGGAATTATTTGGGAATTTGGGAATTCAGGAATTTGGGAATGGAAAAGTTCTGGTCTGGCTCCAGAACTGTGGAGTGCACGGGGTGGGGAAGGGGAAAGGAGGGGAAAGGGAAAGGAGGAGAAAGTGAAATGGAAAAAGGGAAAAAGAAAAGGGGAAAAGGAGGAAAAAAAGGAAAGGAGAAAGAGGGAGAAATGAAAAAGTGGAAAAGGAGAGAGGGAAAAGAAAGGAAAAGGGGAAAGGAGAAAGGGGAGAAAGGAGAAAGGCAAAAAAAAAAGGGAAAAGAAGGAAAAGGATGGGAAAGAAAGGGAAAAGGGGAAGGGGAAAGAGGGAAAAAAAGAAAAGGAAGGAAAGGGGGAGAAATGGGAACAAGGATGGCACAAAATAAATGGGAAAAAGGGAGGAAAAAGGGAAAACAAGGTGGGAAAGGGGGAAAAAGGGGGGAAAGAGGGTGAAACCGCTATAGATCCCAATTCCCTGGGATCCCAAATCCCTGAGATCCCCCTCATTAGGAACCCCATTTCCTGGAATCCCCATTCCCTGGGATCCCCATTCCCTGGGATCCCAAACCCCTGGGATTCCCCTATAGATCCCAATTCCATGGGATCCCAAACCCCTGAGATCCCCCTCATCAGGACCCCCATTCCCCGGGATCCCCATTCCCTGGGATCCCAATCCCCTGGAATCCCAATCCCCTGGAATCCCCTTGCTATGGATCCCAATTCCCTGGGATCCCAAATCCCTGAGATCCCAAATCCCTGAGATCCCCCTCATCAGGACCCCCATTCCTTGGGACCCCCCTTCCCTGGGATCCCCAGCAGCTCCGTGTCCCCTCCCGCTGATGCCACCACGTCCCCAAGGCCACCAGCGCCCCAATCCCACCCCACACTCTTCCCAACCCTTCCAACCCGAGTTCCCAAACTCCCGAATTCCCGCTGGGAATCTCCCACCTCGCGATCCTCCCTCTTCATCTGCTCCAGGTGCTCCACGAACCTCTGGCCCTCCTGGAATTTCTGCTCGGCCCTCAGCGCCCGCTGCTCCTGCCGCTCCTCTATCTGCTGGAGCACCTCCAGCTTGATGCTGGGAATTCGGGAAGCATTCGGGAATTATTTGGGAATTTGGGAATTCAGGAATTTGGGAATGGAAAAGTTCTGGTCTGGCTCCAGAACTGTGGAGTGCACGGGGTGGGGAAGGGGAAAGGAGGGGAAAGGGAAAGGAGGAGAAAGTGAAATGGAAAAAGGGAAAAAGAAAAGGGGAAAAGGAGGAAAAAAAGGAAAGGAGAAAGAGGGAGAAATGAAAAAGTGGAAAAGGAGAGAGGGAAAAGGAGGGAAAAGAAAGGAAAAGGAGGGAAAAGAAGGGAAAAGGGGAAAGGAGAAAGGGGAGAAAGGAAAAAGGCAAAAAAAAAAGGGAAAAGAAGGAAAAGGATGGGAAAGAAAGGGAAAAGGGGAAGGGGAAAGAGGGAAAAAGAGAAAAGGAAGGAGGGAAAGGGGAAACAGAAAAGAAGGAAAAGGGAAAAGAGGAAAGGGGGAAAGGAAAAGAGGGAAAAGGGAAGAGGAAAAAAAGAATGGGGAAAGAGAGAAGAGATAAGGGAAAAGGGATAAGGAAAAAAGAGGAGAGGGAAAAGACGGGAAAAGGGTAGAGGAAAAAGAAAGAGGAAAAGGAAAGAGGAAAAGGAAAGATGAAAAGGGTAGAGGAAAAGGAAAGAGGAAAAGGAAAGAGGAAAAGGAAGCGCAGACCTGATGAGCTGCTGCTTCCTGCAGCGCTCCAGCTCCTCCTGCAGCTGCAGCTCCTTCTCCCGCTCGCTGTCCATGAGCCGCTGCAGGCGCTGCTCCTCCGCCCGCAGCTCCCCCTGCATCTGCCGCTTCTCCGCCAGCTGATGGTCCAGGATGGAGCTGCAGCGGGCACTCAGCAGCAGCTGGGGAAATGGGAATGGGAAATGGGAAATGGGAAATGGGAAAGGGAGCCCTGGAGCTTCTCCTGCCTGTCCAGGATGGAGCTGCAGCGGGCACCCAGCAGCAGCTGGGGAAATGGGAATGGGAAATGGGATAAGGGACAAGGGAAATGGGAATCAAAATGGAAAAGGGAGCCCTGGAGCAGCCACTTCTGCCTGTCCAGGATGGAGCTGCAGCGGG